TTTCTTATGGGGAAAATTCATTCGCATAACGATAATTTCGCATAACAATGAGCTCTCATGAACGGATTAATATCGTTATGCGGGGGTCCACTGTATATATATATAATGTTTATCAGAGGCCTCACAACCAAATGAAGCAGCAAACACTGATTTAATTATTGAAGAAATGAATGCACAATGTAGATCTTGAAGACACTTCTACTACACCCCTCCAGCCTTGATGATGAACCATGCTCGCAAAAATAATCTGGGCCTCCTTTTATTATTACAGAAATTTTTTAATAAGCAACAATATAAACATTATGGAAAAAACTGGAATACAGTAGACCCCCCGACTTATGATATTAATTTGTTCCAGAAGGCTGTTTGGGTGCCATTACCAAACGATTTTGCTCCCATAAGCAATATTGTAAATTAGATTAGTCTGTTTCAGACCCCTAAAAATACACTTACATAATTGTTCGAGTTGGGAGCTGATCATAAGTCGGGGGTCCACTGTACTTGGCACTTACATTAATGTTTTATCATTTCCCCCTTGGCCTTAACCCTTTCAGGGTTTCTGACGTACTAGTATGGATTATGCACCAGGGTTATTGACGTACTAGTACGCCTAATTCTAGCGCCTTCAAATCTAGCGAGAGAAAGCTGGTAGGCATACATATGAAAGAATGGGTCTATGTGGTCAGTGTGCACAGTATAAAAAAAAATCCTGCAGCACACAGTGCGTAATGAGAAAAAAAAACTTTGACCGTGTTTTTGGTTTAAAACAGCGACTTTGCACTGTATTTTCGTATGGTATTTATGGTTGTATTCTATTTTTCCTGGTCTCATTTTATAGAATGGAACACATATTACGAAAATTGAGATGATTTTGATTGGTTCCACAATGAAAAGTACCTTGAAATTGAGCTCAAATTAGCAGAAATGTTCGATTTTTGCCAAAGTTGAAAAGTAAACAAATCATGCCATGCATCCAATACACATCAACTGGTAAGTCTAATATTCTTTCACAAGTGTGCTGATATTATTTATACCATTTCTACACTAATGCAGTAGTCTGCAGAACAGTAAATCTTCTATTTTTTGTGAGAATAAAAATTCAAAGTGGAAAGCAAAAGAAATGTAAGAGGGGCCTGGGGACGTGACTAATGAACAGAGGAAATGTTATTTTAGTGCCAGAAATGTCTGTCTTATTTATTCTGGACTCTATTTGGAAATTGGCATCTTTTGAAATTTGTGTGAAATTGGCAAAATGGCTAATTTCTGACCACTTTATTGGATAGTTGAAATCGGTAAATGGGTGGTTTCTTGTACTTATTCGATAGAAAAAATGGTGTTCTAGTGAAATAGTTGTGATTCTTGTCGACTAGTACATTGGAATTGGCTGAAAATAGGGCTCAAAGTCAGCGAAATCGCTGATGCGTAAACATCGTCGAGATCGTTAATTTCGCGCGAGAGCATAATTTCGTAAGTTTTCCATCAAATTTCATACTTTTGGTGTCATTATGATCGGGAAAAGATTCTCCATTTTTTCATAAGAAAAAATAATTTTTATTTTTTCAAAAAATTTTCGACCCTGAGAGCAAGTTTAGGAGAGGGCCTCTCGACCCTGAAAGGGTTAATGACCATATGAGGCTGTTTGGGAATACTCTCACTCATTCCTGAAGAAATCAATAGGTAACAGGTTGACTTAAATGTCGTTGATCTGATGCAGGCATGACATGGATGGAATGTGGCAAAATTCCATCTTCTTGTTTATGATATTTGAGGTATTCTAAATAGGATTGAAGTTTGGATTATTCCCTGACCACTGTAAAATCTTGATATTTTTCTAAGCAAGCTACTTAGTTACTTTACTAGTCCTATGACCGGGGGCACTATCATGCATAAACATGGTGCAGCCTCCATTATAACAATATATAGCAGTCCTGCATACAATTATGAGGTAAGGTGTTCTGTATTGCTCAACCCCCAAGTGCCCAGGATTTGGGGTTGTATTTAGTGTCGTGTTATTTTGTGCCTAGTGCCACCCGTGGCCTCCCACAAGATATCCCTGTTACAAAACCTCATACTGGACAATCAAGGAGGACATCTAAACTCATAACATTCTATACAGAGAAATACATAGAAATCCACATATGGCTGCATCACAGCTCAAAGAAATGCACCCTGAATGCCTTGATTCGGTGTATCTATCACTGCCTGCAAAAGGAGTTCCACCTGCCAAGTCACTGAGCTGCAAAGAAACCCATACTTACACCCTGTATGAAGGAATGCCTGCAGTTTGCCAGGACATATGCACATTGGAGTGTTGATGAGTAGAAAAAAATCATGTGGTTAGGTAAATCCACATTATAGTGCATTCAAGGTTGTCAAAGCAGGATGAGGTGCCTCTCCTCCATCAGCACTTACAACCCTGCACACATGGTGAGCACTATAAAGCCCCCCACAGTCCATCACAGCATGGGGTTGCTTTAGTGTTTTACTTCCTTGTGAGGGAGTGTACTTCCTTGAAATTCATGGCTGCATTACCTTTATGCATGATAGCACCCTCTGCCACAAGACCAAAGAAGTAACAAAGTGGCTGCTGAGAAAAATACTGAGGTTTTACAGTAGCCACCTACTGAGAATGCTAAGAGTACCATTAAAAAGAAGATGTAATTCTGTCACATTTCATCCATGCTGTGCCTGCAGCAGTAGATCAAGGACATTTGAATCTACCAGTTATCCATCGATTATTTCAGGAATCTGAGTGAAAGCATGTCCAAATGTCTTCAAATTGTCATAAATGCCAAGGGTGATGACAAAATATTATTGTACATACCAAGTATTACAGTTTTTGTTCTATAATGTTTATACAGTTGCTTTTTATCAATTTTTGTAAAAATACAGAGGTCTGGTTGAATGAGGACAACTACTGTGTTTTATAGTGTAACCTCTTTTTTTTTTTAAATTTAACATTTTTCTAAGTACAGCAAATCGTCACTTAAATGTCATTTCGTTATGATGAGAAAAAAAGATCAATTCTCAGCCAGGGCCCCTGTTTATACGGCATTTGCAAGTTTGTTTTGTGTAAAGTAAAAGGACACAAGTGCAACTAATGTGACATTTTTACTGTGGCAACATTTCGCTCTCCAGGAGCTTTGTCAAGCCGTTACCTTGACAAAGCTCCTGGAGAGCAAAACATTGCCACAACAAAAATGTCACATTAGTTGCACTTGTGTCCTTTTACTTTACATATTGTCAGTAATTCTACCAACATTATTAAAAGTTTGTTTTGGAACTGTGTGGTGGTAGGAGGGCACCCTTACAATTTTTGCTTTGCAAACATTTATTCCTTGATTTAACCCTGTTGCAATGAGTGCTAAAGGAGCACTGTGCACCCTTGATGTTTGTATCAATTAGCCTATTGCAAAACTGGTTTCATTATATGTTGTTTTGCTTATAGTTGCAGTTTCCAATTACTGACTTCCAGTCTAAGGATTTTTAGCATTTTTTTTGGGGGGGGGGGGGGGGGGAGCTCTTTGTCTAAATGGAATGGGATTTTTTGTTTAGACTTTACTGAAGACATCAATTCAGCTTTATTTACACTGATACACATAATGTATAGAAACTTCTTTGATTATTTTCAGAAAAAGACAATGCTGCTTGTGCTTGCTTGGTCAATAAATAGTATGCCTAAGCGATGATGAATAATGCATGCAACTAGTTACCTCCATTTCCCTCACATATACCATGTTTTTCTCCTAAACTGCTTAATAAATCTAACATAGCTTAGGCATGAAAAATTGGATATTAGATTGGATGGAGGGAGTATGCAGAAAGTGATATTTGGGAGATGACTTGTTAGACAGGTCTAAGAAAGATTAGATGAAACATAAAATAAATGAAGGGAAAAAGCCAGGTGGAGTGTTGAGGCAACTGGAGAGAGAGGTTTATCTATGGAGGCTATAAGAGAAATGTACCAGAGTACAGTGGTACCAACCCTTTATAGGGATGTGAGGCACAGACATGCATGCAGCATGGAGGAGGCTGGAGGAAGGAGAGGTCTTGTTTGCAAGCAAAGTGGTATAAATAACATGCATCAAATTCGGGGAGAAGAAATTAGATGGTGTCGGGAAATTAGAAGGCAGGTGAAGGGTTATTGGGGTGATTTGAATATTTTGAGGATGGAGTAGAATACAATAACCAAGAGGGTGTAAAAATCTGGGGTGGAAGTAAGGATGGGTAGAGGTTGTCGCCTAAAAGGGATGAAGGGAGTGAAGGAGAAAAACATTTTGTGGTAGGGGCCTGAGTGTCCAACAGGCATATGTATGTTAGATCAGGGTAAGTGTGAAAATTGTTTTAGGGATCTGATCTGCTGTTGGAGTACAAGCAAGATAACATTTAAGATTCAGAGAACTGGTTAACAGAACTTGAGTCCTGGAGACAGAAGTGTAGTGCCCACACTCTGAATGAGAGGAAAGGATGTCATAGTTCAGATGGTTATTTGAAATGCGATGTTTGTGCACTTTTTGACATCACTGTTACTGAATGAAGGTGAGCACTCACTTTTTGGGGTCACCCTTATTTGGTGGGAGATGGTTGATGTAACAAAAAAAAATATACATATACACCTACTATCCGACTTACGACCTGCTCGACTTACGACCACTCGACTTACGACCGTGTTTTTTACACCAAATTTCTGGGAAATAAACAAATATTTGTGTTGTACACAGTGTTTATCCTAAACCTTACAGTATAAAATACAGTACTAACAGCATAAAAAGTAAAGTAAAACATGAAATACCAAAATAAAACAATAAAATAAAGTCTTTACAAAAATGTGATGTTGATATTCAGTAGTAAAGTTCGACTTACGTCCATTTTGACTTACGACCAGCTTCTCGGAACCGAACTCGGTCGTAAGTCGGATGATAGGTGTATATGCTTGAACAAAAAACTATGAGACAACCTTATTTTGTTAGTACCTCATATATTTAATAATGTGCACTCACCTGTAGGCTGGATGGGGTCAAGACAGGGATTATTGAGAATAGTGACCTGCTCCAGATGATTTAGATGTGAAAGATTTGATAAGTCATTGAGATCATTAAGACCATTATCTGATAATGTGAGAATGATGAGACTGGGAGGTAAATACTTGTTGCAGCGGTAGAGTGTAGTTATGAGATTCCGATGGAGAAACAACTCCTGCGGAAAACATAAACCAATTAATTTATGTACTGAGAATATAATTATACACCATATACCATTATATAAGTAAAAAAATATTATTCATCTATGACTAGTTCAGTTTCATTAAAATATGAACATATCCATAAACAAGAGCAGTATTAACCCTTTTAGTGTTGAGGCCCCTGCTCTCAAACTTGCTCACAGGATCAAAGAATTAAAAAAAAAAAAAAGTTTTTTTTTTATCTTATGAAATAATAATCTTTTTCCAAAGGTAATGAAACCATAAGTATGAAATTTGATGGAAAACTTACGGAATTATGCTCTTGCAAAGTTAGCGGTCTTGGGGACATTTATGCACTGGTGATTTCTCCCAGTTTGTGCTCTATTTTTGGCCAATTCCATTGCTCTAGTCGACCAAATTCATAGCTATTTCGCTAGTATTCCTTCTATTCTATTGGCTGAGTACAAGAAACCACTCATTTGCCTATTTTAACTATCCAATACAGTGATCAGAAATCGGTAATTTGGCCAATTTCATACAAAATTCAACAAATGCCAATTGAAAATAGGATCCAGAATGAACAATGTACACATTCCTGGCACTAAATAAATATTTTTTCGGTCCCTCAGACACGTCTCCAGGCCCCTCTTATATAGGATTATGCTTGCTTTTCATTTTGAATTTTTATTCACACAAAAAATAGAAGATATACTGTTATTCAGACTACCGCATTATTGTATTAATTGTATAAATAATGTCAAGTGCATTCCTAAATGCACATCAGACTGGCCAGTTGGATGCATGTTGGACAAGTGACATCGTTTGTGTACTCTGGAATATTGGCAAATATTGAACATTTCCGCTACTTTGAGCTCAATTTCAAGTTACTTTCAGTCCTTCAACTAATCAAAATCATCTCTATTTCTGTGATATATCTTCCATTCTAGTAGGTAGTAGGTCGGTAGACAGCAAATGCCCAGGGAGGTACTACAGTCCTACCAAGTGAGTGAAAAACAAAAACCTGTAACTGTTTTACATGATGGTAGAATTGCTGGTGTCTTTTTTCTGTCTCATAAACATGCAAGATTTCAGGTACATCTTGCTACTTCTACTTACACTAATGTCACACTAAACATGCATGTATATGCATGTACAAGCATATATACACACACACCCCTCTGGGTTTTCTTCTCTTTTCTTACTAGTTCTTGTTCTTGTTTATTTCCTCTTATCTCCACGGGGAAGTGGAACAGAATTCTTCCTCCATAAGCCATGCGTGTCGTAAGAGGCGACTAAAATGCCGGGAGCAAGGGGCTAGTAACCCCTTCTCCTGTATACACTACTAAAGTTAAAAAGAGAAACTTTTGTTTTTCTTTTTGGGTCACCCTGCCTCAGTGGGATACAGCCGGTTTGTTGAAAGAAAAAGAAAGATATATACAGTGGACCCCCGCATAACGATTACCTCCGAATGTGACCAATTATGTAAGTATATTTATGTAAGTGCGTTTGTACGTGTATGTTTGGGGGTCTGAAATGGACTAATCTACTTCACAATATTTCTTATGGGAACAAATTCGGTCAGTACTGGCACCTGAACATACTTCTGGAGTGAAGAAATATCGTTAACCGGGGGTCCACTGTATATATAATATGGTATTTCTTACTAGTTCCTGTTTTTCCTCTTATCTCCATGGGGAAGTGGAACAGAATTCTTCCTCCGTAAGCCATGCAGGTCATAAGAGGCGACTAAAATACTGAGAGGAAAGGGCTAGTAACCCTTTTTCCTGTATACTGTATATTACTAAATTTAAAAGGAGAAACTTTTGTTTTTCCTTTTGGGCCACCCTGCCTCGCTGGGATATGGCTGGTTCGTTGAAAGATCTTCCATTCTATCAAATGAAACCAAGATACTGAGAATACAATTATGAAAACCTTGCAAAAATACACCACAGTCACTGTTTTAAGCCAAAAATACAGTCACAGTTTTTCCTCATTATGCACTGTGTCCCAGGATTTGTTTTTACATGGTGCACACTTACTGCATAGACCCAATGTTTCGTATCCAGGCTCAAATTTAAAGCTCACAGCTTATCTGAATGAGCTGAGCTCTCAGCGTCATACTATGGGACCAACACTGGCTTCAAAGCTATGATACATCGGGACTGACACCAAAAGGGTTAATATATAATGATTTAGTTAAAAAAGACTAAATAAATAATGTCAGTTCCTCAAATACACAGCATCACATTAAAAATTTTATGTGAAAGGAAAAGAACAAAATTATGTTAGAATAAGGACAGAAAAAAAAATGGCAAAAATTATTAAAAAAAAAAAAAATCCTCTAACCAAGAATTTCATGCAGTTTGAATGTGGGATCCTGACTCCCTCAGTATCTGAGTTTTGCTTTTGAGAATTTTATTCTGAATTCTGTTGTCTGCTATCTACAAAGTGATTTTACAAATACATCACTCTATGTGTATGTACTATAAAGTTTTTATGTGGCAGATATTGCAAATGTATGGTGGTAGGTTACTTAAACCAGTTAAGTTTTTATGAAGATAGTGAAGCTCAGGTTAAGGTAACCAGGAGATAAGGAGATATGTAATTCTTTAGTAAAAGTAGGCCTTAGACAGGTATGTGTGATGTCACCTTGTCTGTTTAACATATTTTGGGTGTGAAGGAGAGGTGTATGATTAAAAGATAAAGAATCTAATAGAAAGTGGGAGTTGTTACAATTGCTTTTTTTGGTCGATGACACGGTGCTTTTAGGAAATTATGAAGACAGGTTGGAGAACGAATTTGGAAGGATATATAAAAGGAGGAAATTAAAAGAGAGCAGAGGAAAGAGCAGGGTGATGAGGGTAACAAAAACTGGATATCAGACTGGAAGGAGGGAGCATAGAGGAAGTGAATGCATTCAAATATTTGAAGTGGACTTGTCAGTGGATGGGTCTATGAAAGACGAGGTTAACCATAGAAATGACGATGGAAAAAAGGTGGAAGGTGCATTAAGGCATTTCTGAAGACAGAATATTATCCCAACTCTTATATGGGAGTAAAGCTTGGGTTGTGAATGTTGCAGTAAGGATGACTTAGGTGGTGTATAAATTTGTAGTGCAGACATGGGGTAGGGTTATCCTAGGAAAGGATAGAGCAAGGGGATGAGAGGTTTTGGTGCAAGGTGCTTGAACATACAGCAGCCATGTGTGAGCATGTTAGATAGGAGTAGTGATGAATGGTTTTTGGGACTCGACAAACTGTTAGAGTGTGAGCAGGGTAATATTTTGTGAAAGGATTCAGGAAAACCAGTTACACGGACTTGAGTCCTGGAGGTGCAAAGCACAATGCTTGCACTTCAAAAGGAGGTGTTTGGGATACTTGCTGTTTGGAGTGACATCTAAACTGTCATATCTGCATGTTTCTGCAAAGATAATGATGGTGAAAGTGTTTTTCTTTCTTTTTGGGTCACCCTGCCTTGGTTAAATACAGCCAGTTCATTGAAGAAGAAAAAAAAAAAAAAAAAAAAAAAAAAAAAAAAAATATATAATATATATATATATATATATATATATATATATATATATATATATATATATAATATATTATATTATATATATATATATTATATATATATATATATATATATATATATAAAAATACAAATCTGTTAACAAACCTTGAGATTCTTCAACATGGAGAGATCATTGACATGAGATATAAAATTTCCAGACAGATTTAAGTGCTCCAGTGTTCTGTTGTAACTTAGCCCTTCAATGGTCTGATTGGATTAAAAAAAATATTAAAAAATGGTGTAATTATATATACATATAATCTAATGATTAATATACTGTACTGATATTGTCAGTCATAAGAAAAATAAGAAACTGCATCTTGAACATTTTTATTTTACATTTATATTATTCATATGATGACTGGTTAATCTTTAAAATGAAAGCTATACATTCTCTACCAAAAGGGAAATAAACCAGCATTCCAAAATATAAAAAGAAGTCATAATCACCTTTAGCTTATTACCAGCCAAGTTGAGATGGACAAGATGGATGAGCTCCCTCATCCCTTCAACCTGAACAATGTTGTTATTGGGTAGGTTGAGCACACGCAGTGAGTACATACGAGCAAACCAGTACATCCTCACAATCTGGTTGTTTGCAATAGACAGCTGCCAAGAAAAAATTAAATTAGCCCAAGAAATATACAGTCTGGAGGAAGACAAGTGGCAAGAGAGGTTTTTCAATGTATTCAAGTTCAAAAAAATCTACTACACAAGATATTCAAAGTCCACAAAATTCAAAGCACTCATGTTTCCTTTGTCCACGTTCACTGGTTCAAACTTTAAGTGTTAACGTGCAAATTTTCTGTTGGTGTGTGAGCAAGGTAACATTTTGGGAAGGGATTCAGCGAATCCGGTTAGCCAGACTTGAGTCTTAGAGGCAGAAAGTACAGTGCCAGCACTCTGAAGGAGGGGTGGGGATATTTGCAGTAAGGAGGGGCATCTGAACGGTAGTATCTGCATGCCTCTGGCAAGACAGTGTTAGAGTAAGTGATGGTGAAAAGTGTTTCTTTTCTGGGTCACCCTACCTCCATGGGATATGGCCAGTGTTTAAAAAAAAAAAAAAAAAAAAAAAAAAAAAAAAAAAAAACTTAAAAAAGCAAAAGTCATCTACCACTAAACTTTCAAAGATAAATGCATCTGATACACAAAGCTGAGAATAAAAAAAAACATGTGGGAGGTAGTTTTAACTGGACTTCTCTGAACATACATAAAAAAGAAATATTACCTGAAGATGACTATGGGGAGAGTAGGGGGGGGGGGGGTAACATTGCCTGTGGCTTCTTTTATTCATTTTATTTATTTATTTACAATTTGAGCACACATACAGAGGTACAAAAAAATACAGATAAGAGCAGCATGCCAAAGCCACTTATACTATGCATAGCATTACGGGCTGGCTTAAAATTAACTTAAGATTAACTAAGCAATGATGAAATCAGTGATAAAACATTAATGTAAACAGATTACTATAAAGCACAAGTGAGTATTACAAAGACAGGTCATATGGTTGCATGCATTGTTGTACATTCAGTAGAATGGAGTATTCTGTTAGGTAGTGTATTTAAAAAATAATAAAGTTAGATTGGGTTTTAGGTTTAACATTTATGTGATATAATTGTGAGAAACATTTAAGATATACAATTTATAAGGTTCAGTTATTCAGTATTTATTTGGTTTTGGTGTGAGTAAGTGATCTTTGAGAAGAGACTTGAATTATATAAACAGTAGTGTTTCTTTTATATTTACAGGTAATGAATTCCAGATTTTAGGGCCTTTTATGTGCATTGAGTTTTTGCATAGCGTGAGATGGACACGAGGAACATCAAAGAGTGATCTGTGCCTTGTGTTATGGTCATGTGTTCTGTTGAGGTTGGCAAGGAGATGTTTGAGGGGAGGGTTAATATCAGAGTTAAGTGTTCTATGTATGTAATAGGTGCAGTAATAAGTATGGATGTTTTGTATGGTGAGTAGGTTGAGTGTACTGAATATTGGTGGAGTGTGCTGCTGTAGTGAGAATTTGTTATCATTCTAACTGCAGCCTTTTGTTGGGTAATTAGTGGTCTGAGATGGTTACTTGTTGTTGAGCCCCATGCACAAATTCCGTAGGTGAGATAGGGGTAAATAAGAGTGATATAGGGCCAGGAGGGCTGACTGTGGAGCATAGTACCGTATCTTCGATAGTATGCCTACAGTCTTGGAAATTTTCTTAGAAATTTGTTGTATATGTGTATGAAATTTGAGTCTATTATCAAGGTGGATTCCTAAGAATTTTCCCTCTGTTAGCTTTGTGATAGGTGATCCATTTATCATTATGTTAAGAGGGACATCTGTAGCTCTGTTACCAAACTGAATGAAGTAGGTTTTGTCAATGTTTAGTGTAAGTTTGTTAGTCCTCATCCAGGTAGATATTTTCTGTAATTCGGTATTTACAGTATTGGCTAGCGTGACTGGGCTCGGGTGGGAGAAGACGTATGTAGTGTCATCTGCAAATAGTGTGGGTTTGAGTAATTGCGAAGCATTTGGTAGGTCATTTATGTATAGGAGAAAGAGAAGAGGGCCAAGGACACTTCCCTGTGGGACACCAACTGTAATTGGTTGTGCAGAAGAGTTTGCCCCATTTGCGTACACATATTGGCTTCTGTTGCTGAGGTATGACTTGAGGTAGTTGAGGGAGTGGCCTCTTATACCATAGTGTGACAATTTTACGTGGAGCAAGTCATGGTCAACTGTATCAAAAGCTTTACGTAAGTCAATGAAGATCCCCAGTGGGACTTCTTTTTTCTCTATTGCAGTGTATATATGTTCTAGCATGTGTATAATAGCATCATTAGTATTTTTATTTGGCCTGAATCCAAATTGGCAGGGGTTGAGTATGTTTTGGGAGATAAGGTAGGAGTAGATTCGTTTATGAATTAATTTTTCGAAGATTTTTGAGAGAGGGTGTAAGTTGGATATTGGCCTATAGTTATTCAACTCTGGTTTGGTCTCCTCCTTTGTGGATCGGGGTGACCCTTGCTATTTTGAGTACTGTAGGGAAGGTGGAGGATTCAATGGATTTGTTAAAGAGTGTTGCAATGATTGGTGATAGCACTTGTGACACTTTTTTTGTATATAAAGGGTGGTAAGGTATTTAAATCTCCTGCCTTGTTTTTTAGTGTGTTGATAATAAGGGAGACTTCGTATGGGTTAGTCGGAGCTAGGAACAGTGTGTTCGGGTAGTTGCCGGTGAGGTAGTCATTTGGTGGGGTATCTGAGCTTGGGATTTTTATTAGCAAGGTTTTGTCCTATAGTGGAGAAGAAATCATTGAGTCTGTTTGCTGTTTCTGTTGGTGGGAGTTGGGGTTCATCTGATTTTGCTAATTTTATTTCGCTATTTCGTGATATCTTTTTTGTTCCCAGAATTTCTGATAGGGTTTTCCAGGTCTTTTTTATATCACCTCGTAAGTTGGATAATCTGTTCTCTAATACAATTTTTTTGCCCTTCTTATCAGGCTGGTTAGGATTGACGAGTAACGTTTTGTTTGGTCTCTGGTTATGTGACCCATTCTGTACTGTTTTTCATATTGGTGTTTTGTATTTATGGATTTGAGAATGCTGGGTGTTAGCCAGGGACTGTTCAGTCTCTTAGCTGTCATCTGTTTAGTTTTTTTAGGGCAGTGCTTGTTATAGAGGTATTGGGTCTTTTTTAGAAAATTATTAATACATTCGTCAATATCTGAATAGATTTCTAGCTCAGTGTGCCAGTCAATGTTTGCTACTGCTGTTGTGAAGTTATTAATGGCTGCCTCATTGTGAAGTCTGAAGGTGACTTTAGTTGTGTCTTGGGGTAATTTACCAAGAGTTGTTATGAGGAAAGTAGGGTAGTGGTCTGTGGTATTATCTGTAATTATGCCTGATTTTAAAGGGGATATGGTGTTGGTCCAGATGTGGTCAAGTAGGGAAACACTAGTCTCTGTAACTCTTGTAGGTTTTGTTACTGTTGGTAGCAACATACAGTTACTCATTGTGTTTGTGAATTCAGTAACGTGTGGGTCCTGGTCTTGCAGGAGATTTATATTGAAGTCACCTGAGAGTAGTAAGTGATCTTTGTTCATGCGTGCATCAGTTATCATACTTCCTAGGTTTTGACTAAATTGGCTAATGTTTGACTGTGGAACTCTGTAGATGTTTATCAATGTGAGAGGTTTTTGTAGGTATTTGGATTTGAATTTGGCTATTATATATTCCCCATGTTCATCCCTTGTGCAAGTATTAGTGATACATTCTAGTTGGTCTGAGTAGTACAGTGGACCCCCGCATAACGGACGCCTTGCATAGCGGACAATCTGCATAGCGGACGCTTTGATCGCTAAAATTTTGCCCCACATAGTGGACAAAAACCCGCTCAGCGGCCTTCGTCCAAGACGCGTCCAATGTGCGGCCTGAGCCACGCTCACATGTTCCGCGGGTGGCATTGTTTACCAGCCAGCCTCCGCGGTAACATCCAAGCATACAATCGGAACATTTTGTATTATTACAGTGTTTTTGGTGATTTTTTTCTGGAAAATAAGTGACCATGGGCCCCAAGAAAGCTTCTAGTGCCAACCCTACAGCAATAAGGGTGAGAATTACTATGAGGATGAAGAAAAAGATCATTGATAAGTATGAAAGTGGAGTGCTTGTCTCCGAGCTGGCCAGGTTGTATAATAAACCCCAATCAACCATCGCTACTATTGGTGGTACAGCTGCTGCTGCTGCTGTATCACCGTCAGCTGTTGCTGCACTGTCAGCTGCTGCTGCTGTACCACCGTCAGCTGCTCCTGCTGCTGTAGTACCGTCTGCTGCTGCTGTAGCATCATCTGCTGCTGCTGTAGCATCGTCTGTTGCTGCTGTTCCACCGTCAGCTGCTGCTGCTGCTGTAGCATCGTCTGCTGCTGCTGCTGCTGTAGCATCGTCTGCTGCTGCTGTAACATCTCAGTTGCTGCTGTAGCATCGTCTGCTGCTGCTGTAGCATCGTCTGTTGCTGCTGTAGCATCGTCTGCCTGCTGCTGCTGCTGTAGCATCGTCTGCTGCTGCTGTAACATCGTCAGCTGCTGCTGCTGCTGCTGTAGCACCGTTGTTGGTGTGGCTTATTGAGAATACCAAGAAACAATTAACCCCAGAGGATTTGCCACCCAGGATAGCCCAAAAAAGTCAGTGTCATCGAAGACTGTCTAACTTTTTTCCATTGGGGTCCTTAATCTTGTCTCCCAGGATGCAACCCACACCAGTCGACTAACACCCAGGTGAACAGGGAAAATGCCTGGAACTAGTGCTCATATTGGTGAATTTAGAGCCAGCAAAGGTTGGTTTGAGAGATTTAAGAATCGTAGTGACATACACAGTGTGATAAGGCCTGTTCTGGAAGAAAATACCAAACAGGACCTACAGTACTCAGGAGGAAAAGGCACTCCCAGGACACAGTGTCTCATCAGTCATTGCTGCATCTTCAATAAAGGTAAGTGTCATTTATTCTTCATTTAGTAGAGTAGTACATGCACAATATATATTGTGCATGTACTACTCTACTATTGTGCATGTATCCTCTTTGTGTGTAGGAAAATGTATATTTCATGTGGTAAAAATTT